TTTTTTTTTTGCTTAAAAATTATTAGTAATAAATTTTTCGCAGATGGTTCTACGTAAAATCTTTAATTTTAAGTATGCCCGATAGCTGATTGTAAGTAACTAGTTTTTGATTCACTTGCTAATTCAGAACTATCCAATGCCGAACAAACTACACTCCGCGTCGCTTGAAGAGGCACACACTTTTTCCTCAGATCTGAGCTTATATCTGGATTTTTTTCGGCATCGGAGACATTTCTTTTTGATCTCATATTGAAGAATGATCAATTTCACAGAAAAGTAGTGAAAATGGAGACAACACCTCTATTACTTAGGATTTTATTCCAAGTTTTATCGAACTACATGAAAATTATGGCTATTATTTTGATTCATTTGAATAGGCACAGTGATCTTAACACAACGAAAGGACTTGATTTAACCAACAAAAGCATGCCATTAATTTTAATTCTAGTATATAACACTTTTAGTATTGGATACTACATCCTTAATTCCAATGTATGGAGAAACTCCTATCCGGAAGGCGATTCTAGAGGCGCTTTGAAAAATCAAGGACATCTCGCTGCTTACCACTTTAATCGGCGGAAAGTACAACTGCCAATCATCACATGATTGTCTGGGGTGGGTACAAAAAACGTTCGTCCTTTCAAAAATCGTGGCGATTATTATTAAATCCGTTGTAGCCATCAAAATTACACTTTACGCCAGTGAAAACTACAATTTTCTAGTTGTTCTCTCAGGTATGAGAGTTGTACAAAATTCCAGTCATGATTCTTGAGGTTTCATAGTAAAATTGATGCCTCTTTTTGACATTTTCTGAACACAAGTATATAGAGTAATCGGAAGTTCCCTTGTGGTGTCATCAACACGAACGTTCTTCCTTCATTTTGGTCCACTATCTTTCAGGCTTTTTTATACGATGGCGTGAGCCGGCTTCAGCTGTCAAAATCATTTGCATTCCCTTCAGTTTTATTTCCAACAAATCACCTGCCAAGTCCTAAATCCATGAAGCTCTCCATTTATGCATTTTTTGCAGTTGAAAGTGCGCCTGTTTTACCCATTCCTGCTGTGTTATAGGTCTAATTATCTTCAAATTCCTAAAAAGATTTTAAGTGCAGTTTTAATAACTTTGCTATACACATACACCCAGCCTTGTACCTATTAAAGTAAATCAAAATAATAGCCATAACTTTCGTGTAGTTTGATAAAAAGATGAAATCAACGTAGTAAGGGTGTTTTCTTCATTTTCACCACTTTTCTTCGAATTGAATCATTCTTCAAAACGAGATCAAAAAGAAACTTCTCTGATGTCCACAAGTCCCGATATAAGCTTAAGCCCCAATTGGATCTTGAGGAAAATATGTGTACCTGTTGAAGTGAAGCGGGGTGTATGTACATTAGGGGCTCCCCCTAGGGTTGTTCTATATCGAAAAAATTAGGCCCCTATTTTTATTGGGAAATCAAAAAATATTTAGAGGTCGCTCAAAGCGTTCAAAGGTTTCCATGTATTTTGTATGGGGAAAAAAACAACTTTTTGTTGTAGACATTGTATAGAATTCTTGAAAATCAATATTTTTTGGTCACTAAAATCCGGTTCTGACTTCCAATAACAATACCCAATGGGGGATAACATTTGATTTTCCGGGGGTTTTGGCGGACCTATAAAATATAGGTACTATGAAAAAATGGTTAAATTAATAATTGGTTGTTATTATTTATTGGGTATCTCCAGAAGAGAAACAGAGTTTTCCGATCGAAGAATATTGATTTTTAAGAATTATATACAAATTCTACGAAAAGTTGTGTTTTTCCCATATAAAAGCATGGGAAACTTTGTGCGCTTTGAGCGACCTCTACATATGTTTTGATTTCCAAATAAAAAAATAGGGGTCTATTTTTTTAAGAACAATCCTAGGGGGTGAGACTTTACTTTTTCACGTGCACTTTTTAACCACCCTAATGTACATTTGTAGTTTTGAATTCTAGCAGTTAAGAGCAATCGGTTGAGGACAGTTATTAAAAGCATAGAATGAATAGGTCCTTTCTATTTAAAACTGTTGAAAAAGTATACCTGGAAAGCAAAAAATTTAGTTTTACATACTTTTTTTGTTTAAACGCTTTATATAGAAAAATATAAAATTTTAAATCAGTCTTATTTTAGGCTCTTAGAGAGATTTTAGATTTTTATTTTTGAGTTTAATTCAGCTCTATCTCAATAGAAGTTCGATTTCTGAAGTGATCGTATTCCTAAAGAAAAAATAAAAATAAATTCTCATTTTTGTTGTTGGTATTTCCGACAGGGTAGGAGTGTGATGTAATGTCGAACGATTTTCCGTCATCCCTTGTCAAATTTGGTTTGGAGACAACCCGGTTTCGGCGTTGTGCCATCTTCAGTGTCATTTTTCACATTACATCAAAAATAAATTCTTTCAAACCCGAGTTTAATAAAACAATTATATTATTTGTTTTTCAAGGACACTAAAATAAGCGACTCGTGAGATTTGCTCATATTTTTTACTCTTGAAAAGTGAACATAATGACACCAAAAACGAAGTTACAATAAAAACTCTATACTTAATAATTTAAAAAGTTACTGCATGAGCTGGAAATTATAACTTTTTTATATGCTCCCATAGTAAAAATTAAAACACATTTTCTTCTGATGAGCTATTGTTAATCGATACCGCTATGAAATTTTTACACTACATAGAATAAGAGATTTCGTTAACTTCCGTTTAGCTACTTAACTAAAAAATATTTTTTTTGGATTACGACACCCTTGTAGCAAATATGTTGTTGTTAACAAATTGTTGACTAAACGCAGTTAGGGTGGTATTCAAATTAGTTTAGAAGCCGAAGTTGTACCAAGCGACAAACGTTTGGAAGATTTATAGCACGCTATCCTGTCTTGTGCGTCAACAGGACGTTATCCTTGTAAAATAATAATATGTATTTAATATTTTAACACTGTTTTTGCTATAAACTAACTGTTCTTTTTTTTTTGGTAATTACTATTTTCAGATGTTCCAACACAAATTCCACCACTCACACCAGGTACAAATCGAAAGGTAGCCGAAGTGCTGAAAGCCTCTTTCGCTTCATGGGAGAAGGAGGTGCAGAACTGCAATATTACCAAAGGTGAGTTTAACTTAACTATAAGTAAGTAGCTTACCCGGCACGCTTCGGTACACCCTACAAATTTCAAGAAGCATTTCTACACTCAGAAACAGAAAAATATCAGCCAAATATATTTATCTCAACACGTTGGCCGATTCCGCTGAAACTTGACATGTGCTCTAATTTTTTTATCAATAGGGTTTATATTATGAAATATGGTAAAGATGGGCTTATTGACAAGCCCTCTACCCTAGTGGGCGTTTCATGCGATTTTGATGGAATTCGCTATGTAGTGAGTAAATGATGTGAAATTTTGTATTTATGACTTTTAGCCCAACAGGTGTTTTTATCAACTGTCGCTAGACTTTTTCCGCCTGCCTGCATACATATAGTCGAAACACTGTTTGACGGAATGTAAATTTTATCGAACAAAATAAAGTTTGATTCCATAAAGTGGTTCCAAGAAAAATGTCCAAATAATAACTACTAAACGCTCCAAAAAGGTTCTGATAAACCATTAAAAATAAATAACCAGGAAACAATCATTAGACATACTATTCTATAGACCAGTGGCTCCCAAAATTTGTTTTCTCGTATACCACTTTCAAAACTTTACTGGTTTTGGTGGACCCTTTGCTGCTACATTTCTACCATATTCCCAAAACTCGTCAACAAAGTTGAAGATTAGATCTAAGTATGGAAATTTGCATCGCGGCTCAGTTCCAATCCTAAAATCAGAGTAGTAAAAATAAAAATTGTATATTTTCTTTTTTATATTTACTAAAATAATATGACTACTGACTTGTAAGTTTTTTCAAGCAACATTCTCTGACCTTCTTAATCATAGTTCGTAGAGCCAGCGAGAGCGTATAGCTGTGAGGAGTTATTTGTTTCTGATCACTCCAATTTCTTACAGTCATTGCGCTGGCGTTATTTACATTATCTTCACCATAAACTCCTCGCATGTTTGGCTCACTTACAAATTTGCACGAAAGTATGTATTTGTAAAAGAGTTTATTCGTATTAATTGCATCATTTTTATTTTCACCGCGAGTGATGCGAAAAAAATGTATCGCTCACATTTTTAAAACACAAAACTTGAGACAACAAAACCGCAAAGCGTTTTACCTTTAATTCCGAAAATGCCAAAAGAGAAAAGACCGAATCTAGAAAAATCTATGAGAAATAACCAAGCAATCGGCGCATCAAATTTGAAGCATAAATAAATTGATTGCCCAATTTGCGCTCCCTTCTGCTTCAAAGAGTTTATCAAAGATTAAAACTACTGCGTAATGAAAGATACATGAGCAAAATGGAGTAATAAGGAGTAATATTTTGAGTTGCATGGGAGCGTGAGGTAAATATATTGAGGTTTAGAAACTGGCTTATTTTAACGATAAGCGCTCCTTTCTTTTTTAACTCACAAATGAGGAAATCAAAATTGATTGTTCTTGAATTGAGTTGAAGTGAGGAGGAAGATGGAAATTTTTTTCCTCAGTGAGGAATTTTTGCGAACTATGTCCTAAAATGCACTAATGAAAAAAGGAGGTTAAAAGAAATAAAGCAAAATAAGCAAGGTTTCTAATCCATATTCCGGTCTAACTGGAAAACATTTGTTCAAGCCCGTTGCGAACTTGCAAATCTTCATTTTTTTCTCGCGAAACGTAGACTTCCGTCGAGTATCCGGTCTACCTGGACCACTTTGGGAATCACTGGTTTAGACTCTAAGCTCCAGGGCTAACCATATATATAAAAAAATATTTAAGTAATTTTTGGTTAGCTGGCATGCATATGATCGACTCGATTTTTCCAATCCGGTTTCCACCGTATTTTAGATATCTATATGCGATTTGTTTGAAAGGCTTTTTCCAGTTTAGGGGAACCTCTTAATAGTTTTAAAATTACATAGGTACTAGGTAACCTAGGATAGGTTAATTGGGGGTGATCAGTATAACATATTTGATTCCAATAAACGAATGTTTGGCGCTTAATCGTTTTCTACGTGTTTGGCCCAGTCTCTCCTCCAATTCGGGTTCTGCTTCTTGATGTTGTGACACAAATGGAACGGACGGACAACCGCTATTTGAAAAATCTTTTTGATATTGCTGGGACCAGAAATTTAACCATGGGCCTCCCGAGTGGCAGTAGGCACATCCAAGCACTCGGCTACGGTGGCAGGTGCTAGGTTTTTCACGCGGCAATTTTTCGAATAAGTCGAAAACCAGTTTTGGAAAAGGGCGAATAATCGAACACCCTAGTATTTGCGGGT